TCATTATCAAATAGAATTTATGTTCTACTTGCAAACGATTCAATGTTGTTGGCAGAATTCGTATAATTTGCCTCTCAACATTTTCTACTCGAACTAAGTCCGCTGACTCATTTTCGAAAATTATTTTTATTGTTCTGTAGAACCGACTTGAAGAAGGTCGATTAGTTTGCCATAATATTGAGGATCCAGTTTTTATTTTGCAATACAAACAGCAAATAAATGTTCAGAAACACTAAAGCTTTGCCGGTAAATAAAGTGGTACTGCTACCATCTCACCCCCAATTAAATATGGTTTTATACAATCGTTGTTGAGGTTCTTAAAAACGTTGAAACACGTACAACAGTGTTGTCAACAAGGTAAATTCACTTCTACTGATTGTTCAGTTACGTGCATACCATTCGGATAACACGCCCTTTTACTTTTAGCCCAAACATCGTAGCTCGAATAAATATTGCAGTTTCATTCTTTAGCACCATATTGCATCAATGTGAATATAAAAATAAAAATCGAACCAAAACTTCCTCATATGTATAAGGAATAGAAGCTTTTGTGCCATCATCTAAACTTTTAATAATTTTTGAAGCTATTGCAGATTCTGAGCTCAACATTGAAACATCTTGCGAAGCATTCCTTTTTCCAGCCTTGTAATGACTTAGGCACGTTACTACCATTAACACTTCGTGCGAGGTGTTATCAACGACAGATGAAATTTTTTTTGTTTGAGGCTTAGTTGCGCCCGGTGAAAAAGGTTTGCGTATACGTTGATCAATGCTCCTTCAGAGAAAATTAGATCTAACCATTCCTTATTATGCTCTTCAAACAATGCGAAGATACTGTGACTCGTTTTCCACTAATCCAACAATTTACTATCAAAGTTTCATAATTGTTTTTGAATTTGATGGTATTGCTCTCCGTTAAATTTTGAGGGATCAATAACAACAGAATACACATGAATTTCAACCACTAAAAATTTGTTTGTTAGTACTGGTTCACCGTGCCACATTAAAAAAGGGTGCGTTTCGAGACTGATATTGTACTAAAAAACGCAAAAAATCAAAAAGTTACAAAAACCTAATAATTAATTAACTAATTTTCAACCTGACATTTTCAACCTGACATAAGCAAAAGATCATATTTACCTGTGGTATGTTGATACTATGGCGCATCGGTCGAATCCATCCAGCTTTTATTCCACAGAATAAATGGGTTACCTATGCTAAAACACTTTATTAGAAAGGGCGGCAAAAAAAAGCGATTGATCACTAAAACATATAAGCACAAATCACAAAAACATTTTTTTAATTTAATAGATACCTAATAATTTCAATTAAACCACTAATCCAAATAAATTATTATACAAATAACAAAAATAATATTTTATGCGTGAAAAAAACTGTATACTATGGAAGAGCGCAAAAATAATTAGTACATTTGCTTAAACATATGATAAGTTTGCAAGCTCACAGGTGGGACGCAAAATAAATCAAAGTAAAACCAATAATCCATTGATTTGTTAGTAGTCAAAAGCACAAAGAAATTTGGCGGGATTCGAACATTTATGATTTCGCTAAATCTCCGCCAAATTGGCCATTTCTCTCACTGTGCTACGACAAGGAAAAAACCCCTCATATAAAGCAGTTCAAATCATGTAAGGAGTTGGTCTACGAGAAGTCTGTTAGCATAACCATTATCCGAAAAGTTCGCTTTGTCACTTCAATCAGTTTTAAAGCGAACTTGAAATCGTGTGAATTAGTGAACGAATGACCTGTCAATTTTCATTAATCTACCTCAAGTTGTCAGCTAAATGGTTATCTAACTCGTAAAACTCGCTTAACAATAATAACAATATTACGGTCGCGTATATGTAACCGGAACGGATCCAAAAGGCTAATTAACACAGAGGTATCATTCCTCAAAGTTAATTAGGGAACGTTTACTTCAACAACATTTATTAAAGAATAATACCTATAAACTTTGGAAACCAATTGAATAGAGGGATTAGTAACAGAAGATTTAAAACAGACAACTCTCTGCGGTTATCCATAACTTCCAGTAGTATTCAATGTGGTGTCAGCCATTCAATGGGGTCGGTCTGCGCCGGGTTGGAAAGAGAAATCTAATAAGGACTTGGCTTCTTTCAGAGTTTCGAATTGACGTACAGAAAAATAAATTTACGCGCCGTTGTGAACTTGACCAAAATCGCTTATAATAAATGTTACCCGCTTCTATCTTTCCACAACAGGTTTTAAAGAAAATTAAAGAGTGTTTATTACAATGGGATTCTGTCTAGCCAAATTTAATTTTCAGGAAAGTTTTTTTCTAACATTCTTTTTTTTTCTGATTGGTCTGGTCTGACTATTATCTAATAAATATGGCGGGATCTTGAGCTTAGAAGCCAATACAGCTGCAAAAATTTTAACCTTAGGAGGATTTTCCTGTCCTTTTGTCAATTGTAAGCCCCAGATGTTTTGCACCTGTACCTTGTGGCTAGTAGCTGACCACTTGGGCTTTTTTTCATGCTTCAGAGTATACACCACTGAGAGTCAGAGTTGATCACTAGGATGTACGATGTGTAAAGAATGTAAAGAACAAGGGTAAGAACTCTGTCTTGAGGTACACCAATCTATATAGGTCTCAGATACGACTCAACATCACGACGAACATCAAGGGAAAACTGTGTTCACAATTTTCCATTGTATAGTTAAGTATTCTAATATGTGGCAATAGTTTTTTCAATGAATAGAAAAGATTTTACTATATAGGAAATCATTTTCTGCAAATTTTCATTGAATAATTGCTATAGAGGTATTAAATTATAGTTTTTGTTCTATTTACTTTCCTTGCTGGCATAACTGATTCAGACTATCAGACAGCCTGATAAATTCTATTCGTTTTTCGACATACATTTTTTCAACTTTTGTTGGTATTCGACTTATCTTTTGCTTCAAAATGGGACCGGTCAAACATTTTAATAATATTTTAAAGATAGTTTATGAAAATATAGAATATGGTGTCCCATAATATAAACGCCAAAACTTAGTCAGGTCATCTTTTCGCTTTCGATTCAGCTCTATGCAATCGGAAGACAATCCTTTGGACCCCGGATTTTGAAATGCTGATATCATAGGTATTTCATCAATTTTCTTATATCCTACGTCAAAAGTACGAGTTTATTGCTATTGGACAGCTCCAAATTGTGCTCACACGTCGTCATTTCGTTCTTGTTTTCGAACGATACAGTGCGTTACCCCCAGGGCCGGCCCGAGACAATTTACGCTTACATGAGCTTATATTACCTTAATAACAAAATTTAACAAAACATATAACTTTTGAAAATTATTGACGATATTTAAAAGGATTGTAATTAGTAGTATATTAAAAAAAGTTTTTTATTTTAATATTTTCGTGCCTTTAATTTGGAAAAATCAGATACAACAGTTTTATTATTAAGAGTTTGTGCCACTTCTTTTTCAAATGATAATGTTACCAACCCTGCCAGTCTTTCATGAGTTTCAATTTAGAGAGACTGCGCTCTTCATCAGCTACCGACACAGGAAGAGTTAGCAATACCCGTATTGCCGTAAATCAATTTGGCACGATATCTATTATTTCGTTTGAACAATTATCATTTAAAACGTTCAGTGGTATATGAATATGTATTTATGAGAATTTTTCAGCCAATATCTTTTATTTTATTTCTTATATCTGAAGCATCTAATCAGTCAATCCACTGTCAGTTAATGATTTTTTTTAAATTTTTTACAATGTTCCAAAATGACTGTGTGTGTAAAATTTTGCAACTGATCAATATTAACACTAGAACTACGAACCGGTCAAAATTACCGGTTGCATCATTTATTTATATCATATCCTCTTCTTTGCTATTTAATATTTTCCGATAATGTCATAATTTTTATTAAATTTGTGTATAGAATAACATTACAGATTTTTTTGTTCTTACGCTTCTAATTTTCAGATAGAGAGAGGTATTTGAAATAGGTATATGGTAAATACGCTCACAACGTAAGAGATCGAACATCAAAATATATAGATTGAATTCTAGTGGCTTCCTCTCATTGAAATTTTATACTGTTATTTTATGGGAACAGAAAGAAAAGAAAACATTAAAAGAAAGATATTAAGGGATCACAGTAATCCACTTGATGCACCAGAAGAATCGTATTTGAAATTTAAATTGTATTTACTTGTAAGCTTGCTTGTATTTACATGCTTACTTTACAGATTTACATCACATTGTCGACTGAATAAAAACGCATTTGTTATAGTGTTAAATTACGTATTGTAAACCCTCTTAAAAAGTCTAAATTTTTTTCCATAAACTTAATAATTATGACATGATTTATTCTTATGTTTCCCCTATAGAAATAAAGATAAGTAAATTCGGAACAATAAAATTGTATAATTTCTTAATTAACATTTCAAGTCAATCAGCGACTATCTTCTTGCTTCGTTTCTGATAGCAAACCCGATACAAGTTCTGTTTCAACATTTTTTTATCGGTTTCAATTCTGATTCCGACAAATATCGGATTCTACAACTGTATTTGTATAGAAATTTCTTTGCATTGAGATTAATTCAATATTAAAAAAGTTTGAGCATATTTAAATCATCAGTACTTATAATAGAATGTAAGCTACTCAAAAGTAAAAATGTAGGCAGATTCCACGTTGTCCTCTTATTTTATTGGTATATAAAATTTCAGTCAAGCTTATATGATAGATGCTATAAGAAGTCAAAGTCGGATCTTTGAAAAAAAGTCAAATTTTGTATTTCAAAAACACTTTATCGAATTTATATATACTAAGCCGCATTTCATTTTTAAAATTGCCTGTTAATTGTTTTTGAACCACCCTAATAGTATTTGATTTTATGTTACAGTTAAAAAACATAACTATAATTACATATATAATAATATAATGTCAATAACCACAACAAAATAGTAATTATAATCGCAATGCAAAATTTCCTCTCTTTACAGATTTTGTTTAATTGTTTTTACGCTCTTTACGATTATCGCAACAGTGACCGTTCTGCTGTCGGCTCCACACATTATCGTGCAATAAGCCTAAATTCATACGAGGTTTAAGCATAAGCCTAGGATAGACATATGGAAATTGCGTACTTTAAATGGAGAAGAAATCTTTATTTTTTCCAGAAGAAAAATCACTTACATACATACTTACAAAAAACAGCAAATTAAAGAGAGGAGCAATGCAAAGTCAAAGAGATTTATCACTTACATAGCTGTAGTTTAGCGAAGATGATGAGACTACTCAATAATTAGAAAATTATAAGAAAGGCAATTGAAAAGTTCACAAAAATCAATACAAAAAAATTGTTAATTAATTATTTAAGAAAAACTGAAAACTAGTTAAAAATTAGAAAACAAAAATTAAATAATAATTTAAGAAAATAAACAAAACATAAAATATATGTATATACAAGTAATAGTATATAGGGAATCTGGCAAAAAAATGGTTACTTAATGCAAGCAAATTGAATTACTTTTATGACATGATATAAGAAAAACTTCAAAACAAACTGCCGTACACAAATATGTTGAATATTTCGAAAAAAATAATATTGCAAAAAATTTAAAAAAAATACAAGCCGTACACTATAAGCTATGCTAAAAAAATATATACATACATACTTACATATTAGTAAATTTATGTGAATAGGAAAAATTCTATACTGCATACAAAGAAAATAATAATTGCATGCGATAAAGAAAAATATGCTAGCATGAAATAAAAAATACAAATTCGATAAAATAGAAAATTACTTTTCAATTAATGCGTTCATTATAGTGTAACAAATTGTTGTTTTCTTATTTTATAAACTATTTAATAAGAATGTTAAAAATGTCATGCGAGAAAAAAAAACAAGAAAGGTGCATGTAGGCAACTGCAAGGTAATTATTTTTTTAATTAACATAGCGTAATATTAAAAATAGGTAAAGTAATAATTAAAGTAAATTTAAAATATGAAATTAAATAGAAAATTAAATTAAGAAAAACAAGTAAAATAATAAGTGAAAAGACAGAGATTGTTCCTATGAAACATAGAAATACACAAACACTCACACAAAAGGGCATAATTTCATACAAAAGTACTCGAAATTCAAAGCGACAAACAATTAATGTGAGTAAAAATATATTTAATTACAAATAAAATTAATTATAACATATAAGGAAATGAGAAAGTGTTGCATATATTGAAGTAATAGGCGCATAGTGAATACCCCTGAATCTGCAGACAGACACAGGCAGTGTTCAAGGCAACCTTACAATTTGCCAAGAGCTACCCAAACAACACACGAGCGCAAACATTGGTGCATTACTCACACACGACTACAAATCACACAAAGCATGGAGCGATTGCTGAGAGCGTTTCTGTTAAATTAAATGTAAAACGAGAGCACAAATAACAGTACTATACTAAAAAAAAAAAAAAAAAAAAGCAAAAAGCTGAAAATAGTCAAGAAAAAGTATGTTAGTGACCAAGAGAAAGTGAGAGCGAACGAACGCGAAAGAGATAGTGCGAACGATAACGAGTTGCAACAAATTAAATAAGAAAAAGTGAGACAGACAGAGAGAAAGAGAGAGAGAGATATTGAAATATTTTTTATGTGCATTTATCTTTGTAAAGAATTTAATAATACGAAGAAATGATAAAGAATAAAATTTATAAACACGGCATATGCATAGAAATAAACATATGGCAAAAGATGCATGAGAGAAATATTGCAAAAACAAAAGGGAAACAAACACTAGACACGAAAGTGAGTAGAGTACGCCTGTTATTTGAACTCGCAGCGGTGTTAAGTGGGAGAGGAACAATAATAATTGCAGGTGCAACAACTATATATATAATATACGATGGACATTAGCAAAAAAGTAATGAAAACACTATACTGCATACAAAATTTAAAAAAATTAAAAATTATGAAAAAACCAATTAAATAATGTTGAAGGAAATAAGTGCACACAATAAAATTAAATTTAAGCAGTCAGTGACTGAAATTAATTTAGTGCAATAAATAATAGAATAAAAAGAAATATTAGAAAGAAGACCTGAAGAATGAAAGGTTAAAGCAGGAAAATTAGTTTTTTATTACAGTAGGAAACTTACTTTAATTTTTCATTTGCTTGCACAGAATTCGAAAAAAAAATTAATTCATTAGTAATAATCAGATCAGAGTATTAAATACATAGTTTAAATACATATATACTTTTCTTTTAGCTGCAATTATTAAAATGATGATGTTGCCAAAGTTTAATGAAATTTCAAAAAGAAAATTTCAAAATTTTAGTTAATTCAAAATATAATATATTATTATTTATAGTATAAAAGCTGCATTTAAAAGGCGATATTTTTTATATTCGAATCTCTATTTTGTTTGCAAACTGATTTTAATATTTTCGTCCATAATAATGTTACTCATTATTTAATTTAGTAAAAAACGAAACGCTCGTAATTTATTTTTGTTAAAATTTCAGAAGATTTTTGATGATATTAATTGCCGAATGGTTTTTCAAAACAATTTTTCTCACTAACTTTTTAATTTTAATCTAATACATTCAAAATTTAGTATCCTTGAAAAAATCGAAGAAATTTTAAGTGAAAGTCGATGAAAAAGAAGATTTAAGTATATTTGCAAAATTTATAATTAATTAAATTTTTATTTCTGCGCTATTTCGCCTTTCCGACCCCACTGTACTGTAAAAGTTTATAACATTATATTGTGTTCTAATTATTTATTAATGGAACATAAAAGTATACATATAACATTATAAAATAATTTTTAACACAAGCCTTTTTTTCATGATATATTAATGCATTACAAACAAAAAGTTGCTATATCAGCAAAAAAAGATAATATTTTTTCATAATTAGTTATAAAATATTTTTGAATGTTTATACTCTATGTGAAGAATTTTAGATTATGTAGTTAAAAGCCAAAAAACAAGTATATGTTTTTTCTAACTTTTTTTTCGAATTTCTCCTTTACTTTGATTGACAACAAAAACATTAGATTGTTCTAATTAAACCAAATTAAATAATTTTAAGGCATTTAGTAAAATTCTTTCTGTATTAAATGTTTATAGATGGTTTACTAATCTGTATTTCGCGATTGGGTAACGCAATATGGCGTTAGAAAAATAAGATTTCATGCAAAAAAACTTCTTATTTTTGTGATTGCTTGACTTAGTATTGTTTGAACACGCGTCATAAATGGACACCAGCAAAGAGAAAATACGCCATATTTTACAGAGTTTCCTTGATAAAGGTGGAAAAGCAAGTCAGGCGGCACAAAATGTGAATAACGTTTATGGTCCTGATACTGTAGGAGTCAATCGTCTACTATGAGCTGCTCCTCTATGGCCAAACTCTTTCGGACCTGTACTGTCAACATTGGGAAGCAATTTCCCATAAGCGGCCAGCTTTGGCTAATAGGAGAGGAATTGCGTTTCATTAGGACAACGCTAGAATCTCCGGGAGCTTGATTGATGGTTTCTAATCGGGTTCCGGTCCGGATGGTTTCAGTCCTAGCACCAAGTGATTACTAACTGTTTCTGTGGTGAATGATTTTGCTGGTGGAAAATTCGCCTCAAGGGAAGCTTATGAAAATCGACTGTCTTTCTACCGAAGTTGCAATACGAAATTAACTTCAAAATGCCAACAAATTTACCGAACAAAATGGAATATATTTCAATTAAATCAGATCATTCTAAATATGCTAAGTAAAATCTTCAAAAAATCTAATGGACTTCTTTTTACTAAATTTTATATATACCTTTATAGAGATTTTCCTTTACTGGAAAATGAAGATTGGCGTAATCCTCAAAGTTATTTCCAAAAAGTCTTACATTTTAGACTTTTCGTCTTACCTTAAGCATTTTAAACAGGTTCTTTACTGTGTTACAATATTTTAAATATAAAAAAAAAACAATTTTTGTTTTAAAAGTTGATTGTTTACAAAAACTTCATTGTAATTTTTATGAGACGGATATTGTTGCTTATCCCTTTAAGATAAAACTAAAATGTCGAAAAATTAGGGATTGCCAACATTGTTTTCAAAAAATTCAACGTTAAAATATTTTAACCTTTTCTGACTCTTTAGTAAATACAACTATATGTAAAAATTATAAAAAGTTCATTACAAGGGTTGCCAAGTTATTTTATTTCTAAAAGGTCTTCAAAAACCTTTTAACACTGGAGGCAGTACGCTGAATACTTTCTTCGTATGAGATGCTACGGTCTACATCCCAACTAACAATGAAATGCGATTGAAATGTCTCACAGCAGTAACCCTGTAGCTACTGTCACCAATTTTTTATTTGATATAGATTTTATTTTAAATTTCAAATAGCAATTAAAACCTTTTATTATTAAAGGCCAGTACAATAATTGGTTAGAACTATATTTCGTTTTAGTTCTAGTTTTAGTTTAGTTTAGGTTAATAGAGTTTTCTATAAAATTATTCCTTAAACAATTTCAATAGAGTATTCGTCAACTTTTTACTTCTCTTATCTTTTATATGTTTATTCTATTTATCTATTTATCTTGCTATTTTCCATCACTACATTGGCAAAGCTTTCTACATTCAGTCCAAATCTATTTGCACAAATTTTTTATCACTTGATGTGGACGCTAAAAATCTTGAGCTTTCAATGCATTTTATCTATTACAGTTAAACGCGCTCTAAACTTAGACTAATTAGTGCTCTTGCAGGTCACAAAATTTAGTAAAAAATAACAAATATACACATGCACACACAAAATTATATTGAAAGTTATGTAAGCTTCTCTACAATTCAAGCAAGTAACGAAACGAATACGATCCCCACTTATTTGCGTTTGTAATGAAAATCCCTCCACCAGATAAATGATAAAAACTCAACTGATAACTGTGTACTTTAATAGTTATAATACTTTTTAAAGCAACAAATTTTGCAATCAAATTTTTCAAAAACAATGAACAAAAAATCAAGGTTGTTTACGACGAGACCCACACTTTTCATAAAAGGTACATAAATACTCGTATAAGTACATATATGTATGTATGTAATACTTTCCTAAAAAACACTTAAGTAATTACTTTTGCATTGTATAATATTTATAACTATTTATCTGTAAGTCTATATATATACAACTTACACATGAGTGTAGAACCCGAGCTCATTTACGTACACCATAGTGAAGAAAAAACAACTATAACAAATATGTTGTAATAATGCTTAGTACTTATTGGGTATTGTAGTTACACTAAATACTATCTTTTACAACAAATCGTGACATTTTTTTCTTGTGCAAACAAATTTGTAGCAAGCATATTTCTTGCGCACAAGTGTATGGTATGTGTAGTTAGATAGCTGCGCGTACACTGTGTAACACTACCCAATGGTACATACTTACATACATACTACTAATGTCTTTCAATACGATGAACTCTTAGCAAATTTTTATAAAAATATTTATTGTACGCGTGTTTGTATGTATGTGTTGTTTCCATTTTTTTTTTATAATAACAAAACAAGCAAACTTTTAATTAGCAATACACTTTTCTATGAAAATGTCTACATGTTAAGTATTAAATCTTAGAGCTAACTCCTACTGTAATCTCAACTTACTAAGTATTAACAAACTAATTAAAAAAAATACTATTTAACAATAAGTTAGAGCTAAGGCGCGTCCTTTTCCAAAACTAAAAAATAATATAAGAAAATTTATAAAACAAAACCAATCACAGCCGAAAAAGGATACCAAAGACGAATTTAATTAACAAACTGAGGCAGATAATTAATATACATACATACATACATACACATTTAATGTATAGGGTGGGGAAAAGTTCGCAACTAACTTAGAAATTATTCTGTATGTAAGCAGCATAGAAGGTGAATATTTCTGAAAATATTTTAAGACATTCAATTACAAAAACACATGAAGAAAAATTACACAAACAAAAAAACAACAAAACATGAATACAACTAATTATGCATCTACTTTTCTCGTACACTGTATATTTTCGGTTCAAATACCTAAACATCGATGCTGAATTATGTATAATGTGCAGCTTCAAATTCATTTGCGAATTCAAATTAAAGTACGGCGTGTGTGCAAAGTAAGTTATGCCATTGATAAAAGAAAAAATATATATACATATATACATAAATATATATATTATATATATAATTTTTATATATGATTGTTGTTGCTAGTTTAATAAATATATGAATGCATAGGCAAAATTAATAAGTGAAACGGAATTATTTAGGTTAAAAATGTTACCAGTATACTCATAGAAATATATAAAAAATTAGTATTGAAAAAGAAATTCTACGAACTGATTTCCACACAGCTACAGTTAGCCGGTACACTTGTTTGAACAATACACAACATGCACAGGCTCTAATTAATTAATTATTATATTTTAGTAGTTACAAGGTGTCAATGTGTGGTGCAAAAATTAAGCCACTGTTTCTAGGGTCACGAAAAATTCTAAACGCTTAAAATGTGCAACTTTAAACTTTTTTCAAAATTTTTTTCCAAAATTTTAAATTCAAATATTTAATAATTAATTCGTAAATTTTTTTTTTTTTTTGATAATTACTTTGAACTTTTTTATACGAATATGAACTTTCCAATTAGCATTTAACTCAGAAAGACATGCTTGTGTTTAGGAACATATGTATTTTTATTTTTGAATTGTTTTGACTTTTAACATAATTAAGATATAAACTATCCTATCTTTAAAGTGGGATAAAACTGGACATTGTGTGCTAAATTTTTTTAAAATCGGTTCAGTAGGTAGGGAGTTAACTCCGGACAAAAACTTAACATGTAACTTTTATATTTATAAATTTATTAGCGTAAATAAACTTGTTCAAAAAGTGTTTGACACAAAATTAAATTTCAAACTATAAAAAAAATATTGATAGCTAACAACTGAGTTCTAATAAAGAAAAATCAAAATTTTAATTTTTTCTAAATCACATAATATTACACGCTGGATTTAAATGCATTTTCGAGTGAAATAATTGTTTTGAAGTTAGTATGACTCTCATACCATAGTTCTTGATTAGTACCTAAAAGATTATCCCATTTTTTTTTAATTGACTGAGCGATTATTTGAATAGAATACTAATTGACATCATTAAAATGTTAATAGAACCGAATTAATCACATGAAAAAGTAAAACTGATTTACCCAAGAATATTTATTTTATTGTTCATTAAAGATTAATTGTCTTTAATAAAATTAGAATTTTAAATTTTTGTGAATTTATTTAGCTCATATAGTTCCTCATTCCTTCTGATGCATAACCTTTTATATTCCTCCTAATATATTTAGTTGACTGCGAGACTATATCAATTGAATACTAATTGTCTTCATTAAAACGCGAATTGAGCCGAATTTATCACACACAAGTGTAAAGCTGAATTACGGAAATAGTATTTAATTTAATGTATATTTTTTCTTAATTGTCCTCAATAAAACGTTAATTTAGAACCTCAATTAAATCTAAATATCAAGAATATAAATTGTATCACAATTTCCGTTTTTAATTAACTTCCATAATTCATCATATAAAAAAATCATAATTGCACAAATTATATTTAATTCAATGGTACAGTATTCCCCGGATAGTTGGGCTTCAAAAATTGCACAATAATTAGCTCAATTAACCAGGGAATCAATAAACCGATACTCGTCTAATGGAACAATTCGTTCAATTACAGGATACCAGCTTAATTGAACAACCTAAACAATTAAAAATAAAATCATATTTTCCTATTAAGTGATATTTTGGCTTTAGTAAAGATATTAATTAACTTTAAACGGAAACAAAAGAACAAAAATAAGACAATACACTTAAATATTTAGAGATCTTTGATTTAAAAAAAATAAAATTAAGGAATAAAAAAATTATTGTTAACTTGAGAAGTCTGTAATTTGCTTTTATATAAGTACTGTTCAATCTACGTGAAATAACATGCGATTCCATATTCGATAATTCACATAAAACCTTGTTTTCCAAATTAAAATATATTTGAATTGCTTTACAGAGATAGTTACTAACTGCTGCTGGAAAACATGTATGTGTGGCAATGTCAGATTATTTTTTTAACAAAAGTTTTTTATTTCTTTTCAATAACACATATTTTTAATCAATTATACGCGAAAACCAATTTCAAAACCGGGTTCAATTAAGCAAAAAATGTTATACCGACCGATGACCGATCAAGTGGTTAAAATAAGCGGGAAAATCAATTAACCGCGGATCCATTAAGCGGGGAATACTGTATATATGTATTTAAATTATGTCATAATTTCATTTTTAATTAAATTTAAAAATTCATGTAAATTTAGTTCTTCAATTCAACAAATAAAATGTTTAATATAACTGTACAATCCCTAGAATACAAATTGTTATAATTTTGTTTTTCAATCCTTAAAGCTTTATTTATCATACAAATAAGGCTTAAACTGTGCAATTAATATTCAATTGATTTTATAGCAGTTCGCAATTAATTAATTATACGATTAATTTTTAAATGATTTTTAACCGAGTTATTCTCATGACAACGTTAATTACCCTGAACTTGCTATATACAAATTGTTAGCTTAAGGAGTACTGGTCATAGCTATAACATATACTTTTTTTAATCCTAAAATAATGTTAATTGCCTGTTAATCCTAATATAATATTATATTAACGAGCTCAATTTGAGTAAGGGATATTCAATTTGTAACTACGCAATATTATTAAAGAAAAAACATAAATGAAGTAAACTTAAACTATTTTGATGTAATGCTTTATTAGCTGTTATTTTCGTACAAAGCCAGGTTACCTCAGCCAATTGCCTTAGGTAACCATGTTCACTAGAGTAGCGGAGAGCAAAACAACCGAATTTTCGTGATTTGTATTAGCTAACAAGGCCAAGGTCCAAAGTAGAGTAAATTTGTAATTTTTCCAATACAAAAACTAAAGTTTACTTTGCGGAAGACAGACTTGAAATGATACGTGTTTCTTTAGTGTATTTTCTCTCCCCGATATTCTCTATTTGGGTTTGACAGGACATGTTCTTTCAACATACAATTTAAATATTATTAGACACAAATGAATGTACATATACGGGCCTCATAGACATAAGCAGAAAAAAGCTAAATTTTGTAAAGAAAATTAAGAAAAATGCATTCAAAATTCAAAGTGTTGTATGTATAAGGGCTTTTATGTATCAAAATTAATAGATTTAAAAAAGAAAGATTTAAAATTTAAATTTAAATGAGAATAAAATATGATTCTTTTAAATGTCATTTCGAAAATTGCAACATTTTGTGCAAATAGACTACACAATGACACCCTGTACATTTTTTATATTTTATTTTAATTTTTTTTATTTTTTGTTTAAGCAAAATGGCGAATACAAAATTATAACGAATACGTCGAATTTGCACAGCAAAAAAAAAAATAATTTGCAAAAGTTGTATTTAAAACATATATAACTGTATACGAGTATGTTAACACAAAGTAAATAAAGAGCATACTCTATGAATCCATGCGGGAGTGTACACGGAATATATTAATTATTTTGCAATAAGTAAGTAATTTTTAGGATATTTGAAAATCACTAACTGAATAATGGATTAGAACTAGACAAGTGTTAAGTAATTGTTATGATTTGCACGAAACAGTTGTACCAATTAAAGAGAACAGTTAGGAAAACTGTTGTAAAAACAAAAAATGTTTAAAAATAAATAAACGCTAAAAAATAATGCAATTTATATTTAATGAAATCAATTTTTAAACTAATTTATTTGAGCTTAACTACATTGCACAATCAAAAAATCAAAAATTATTTAAAAACCTGAAGAATTAAAAACCCAACCCACCATAAATATAACTATAAACAGCAGCAGCAATTCATAATTTTTTGCAAATACCCAGCCATAATTTTGATTTATTTAACATATCCACTGTTGAGCTTAATATTATTATTATATATTTAATAATATATAATTAATTTTAAAAATAAAAATGTGCGACCAATTTAATAATTTTAAATTATAAATATATATATATATTTTTGTTTAATTAAAGCAGAAATAAAAAAATAAATACAAAACAAGTACCAAATACTAAATTGCATGTAAAAAAAATTAAAAGCATATAACTAAAACCAGAACCAGACAATTAATTATATCTTCATTTAAAATATAGGTATAAATTAAAGTTGCAAATAAGTTGTAATGCATACAATGTCTGTTGTCGATCGATCGTTATTGACAGACAAAAAACTGTTTCGTCACATTGACGATAATTAAAAATTTAAATATTAAAATAATTTAACTAAAGGTATTAGCATAAAATTAGTTTATGAAATTGATGAAAAGAATAAGAAGTGAGAGAAAAAATTAATTAAGAAAATAAAAAAGAGAAATAAGAATAAAAAATTTCTTTTTGGAAAAAATATAACGCAATAAATTGTATTGTTTTATTTTTTGCTTGCACGGGGGGATTTCCCAAATTACGGGGAAACTCAATTATTTAGGCTGTGTTCAAACGAGGAAACTTTTTGCATTAACGGCAGCTTCTCTACTGGTGCTTAGACCGAGTATACACGTGTAGACTTTTGATTTTTGATTAGCTGGTTGTTAACCTTATTGACACTTTTCTAAAATATTTGTATTATATTATTCAAATATATACTTATCCATTTTATCCGTATTAAGCGCTTGATCACTTTATTTTATTTTATTACAAAATTATCGAACGTAGTGGTCAATATATACATCGTCTTAAACGTAAAGTTGGACATTATATTGAGGGGAGGTCTAGGCATTAAACGAAATTTCACCTGAGAACATGTTTTCATTCAATTTTATTAAAATAACTCTCAGATTTACAGATATTCTTGGCATCTAGTCCATTAGAATCACGAGAACCCGTATGTATAATACGTGGCTGTTGAGTAATTGATGCACCGAAAAAGATTGAATTTCGGTACCCAACCATAGTATATCGAAGACCATATGTTCACTTAATTTTGCTCCGTTATCTTACACCGAAATATACGATATAAAGTCTACCGGAACTAAGAAAATCTTTATACTAAGCATATGAGGATTAAAGGAAGTAAGGATCTGATATTATATATGTATATATTATATTTTTAGCATATTATTACCAGGAAAAGATGCCGTCTTAATTTCATTAAGAAATTAACAGATATTTTCAGTATGTTGTCATTAATAAGTACTGAGGTCCTCATACTGGTGGCCTTGAAACGTTATAGTCCGACTGTAACACAAAAATATCGGGAATATGATAATACATTAAGACCAGAAATTTTCCGAAAATTGTTGGCCCACCATTCCGGCCATTTACGACGGATGTTTTCTCGCAAACGTCTCAAAAAGCTCAAATGATACTCTTTATTGACCGTTTGTCCGTGGTTTCATGGTATAACATATTGCTACAGAGTATAATGAACGATTTTAAATCAAAAACTCGTTCAATACCATCGATCAACCACCATATTCACCGGATTTGAGAATTGAAGGCGATCCCGGACCTGGGCCTACAAGGGATGTTTCGATGATTGGAAAATGAGGTGACATATGTGTATCGCTTCAGAAAGAGCATATTTTGAAGGCGACAAAATAAATATTGATTAAGATTAAAAATTTTTCGTTTTATTTACAATTTCCTGAAACTTTCTGGTCTCAATGTATATAACTATCGAGTAGTTGTTGAGTTTCGGGATTTGTATGTATAAAATTTCAATTTTGTTGATTAATTTGTAGCTTAGTTATATCCTTTTTATTAAAATTACGGTTATTGTATATGAATTTTGGGTAGCCGTGACTTGTTGAGTTATAACTTTTTAAAAATAATTTCATTTAATATGTTTACTAATGACAATAAGCACCTGATCGCAAAAACCTTAAAAGATGGAACTACTAGTTACTTAAATTTGTAATAAAATTATATTTTGCTAAATATTTAATATTTATGTTTTTATACTCTCGTACTACTGCTACAGAGCATAACAGTTCTTTTTTATTATAAATTTATGAATTTCAACAATATGCGGCGAGTTCGTAAGCGTCTATTAGTTTTTTGACTACTAGTTGTATATTTAATACTAATTGTGGACACCTTATTAAAGAAATATGTGATGTCTAAAATATGGCAACTAGGTTGTTCATTTCGCCGCGGTATTTTGTTTGTCGCTTTGTATTTAGTATAGCTTGAATTTATTTTTATTAACACTTGAAATCTGTCCTAAATATGGATGAATTTAGTGAACTGTTAATTTGTAAAGTACAGACTCATCCCTACCTCTATGATGATCAACATAAGGAATATAAAAACCTGAACGCCAAGGAGCAAGCATGGAAAAAAATTGGAGAGGAATTAAAAATGTCGCGTAAGTATGAGCTTTAATCCGCAATGTTACTGAGAAGCTTACGCGGGAATTTTTCGGCATCATCTGCAATTAATGGTTACAATGTTGAAGTTTATTTAGTCTACGAAAAGTTATTTATGAAATTTGTACGTATATGTTGGTAGTCAAATAAAAATTAAACTTATTTACTTTTTAGCTATGAAAGTCAAGGCAAGATGGAAGAATTTACGTGACTCCTACGTAAAATACAAAAATCAACTGAATAAAGTTAAGGACGCTGCCGAACATGAAGCTGTGAATAATCGCTATTTAAAATGGACTGGTCGATCATATTTATCATTCTTAGATGAAACTTTAGCTCGACGTTCACTTTCTTCGACCCATGTACATTTAAAGCCCGAAAGCAGCGCCTCTTCGCCACCAACGAAACGTGCGACAAGTTATGATAATGACGGGCAGAACAATAAAAAAGCCAAAATGGATAAGGTGAAGAAGAAAAGTTCAAATAAAATTCGTTCAACTTTGAATACTTTAACCATCAAACGGCGTCATGAAAAGCCATACAAAAAAGAAGCTCAACCAATTGAAGAAAGTGCTCCATTAGTACTCAATGCAAAGATTGAAAGTTTAAATATATCACCAGAAAACTGCCTTGAAATTTCCACCACAAACGGCATGGCAACGAAAGACGGCATAGATTCCGGCACTAAATCAAATGACACTGACTTAATGTCACATTATTTGGAGGATAAGCGAAAATGTCAAGCACAAACTGGAAGCGGGGCAAGCGATGCTGTTGACCATTTATTTAGCAGCTATGCACATACATTCCGAACTCTAGCGTTGCGCCAACAGGTGAACATAAAAATTGAAATGGCAAAACTTTTCGCCATTGCAGAAATGGATAGTCTGCAGTAGGAAATACAAATAACACTTTGCTGTTGGCAAATCAACATATTTCTTTATTGTTTTGTATGTAAATGAAGTATTACTGTTAAAATAGTAAGTGTACACATAATATGTATTGGATGTAAAAATATTTTTTTTAATGACTGCACAGTTATTTCTTCTTTCTTACACTTCTTTACACTCGAATTCATAAAATTTAAATAATTTTCATAATAAAAAAGGGAATTTTTATTGTAATATAATATTGATTTGAATTTATATTGTCTGCTAAAAAATTTGTAGTTTTGGTGAATTTTCTTTTTATATACTAAACAGGGTATATTAAGTTTACCATGAAGTTTGTTATGCACAGAAGGATAGATCATAGACCCTGTAAAAAGATATATGTATATAAATTATCAGTATAACGAGCTGAGTCGATTTAGCCATGTCGGTCCGTCCGTCTGTCTGTCTGTATATATGCGAACTAGTCCCTCAGTTTTTGAGATCGATCTGAAATTTTGCACACATGCTTTTCTCAAGGAGCTGCTCCTTTGCCGGAAATCCAGTTGTTATGGGATATATTTTGTATTTGTGAATGGTATTAAAGCTTCGGCAGCTTTTTGTTTGCAGATTAGGTCTATAACTTCAATCATCAATTAAAATAATTGGTTGATTCGTAATTTCTTCAAAGAACATTTTTATTACTGATAAAAAGAACATTTACATTTTTGATTAACATTCAGTAAAATACACATTCGTAAAATGAAACGATCAAATATAGTCAGGAAATAATTAAAAGACTGAATTTAAAGCGCACTTATAAACGAAAATAGAAAATCTTAATAAACTTGGTTTCAAAAATTCTTTGAATACATTAAATTAAACGTGAGAAATATTACTAATCTAAGCAGTAATTTAACAATGTTGCGTTTTATATTTATATATATAACATTTTAGAAATGCATTAGTGAGTATGCTCAGAGTGAGACACAAATATACCAAAATGAAACTCAAAGATTTCAATGTAATTAGTTAAAAAAAATGAATGTGAAAGGATTAAATTAGATTCTTTGAATTTGTTTTGAAAATTTCCGAAGGAGGTGGCAAACTTTTATGGCTACATGAGGCAGAACAGTATATATATTTCTATTACATATTTAGATATTTATATATGACTTTCTCCCCACTACAAAATTAATGGGCTTCTTCTTGACCTTTCTTCGCCGACCACTGCAAGTAATTCGATTGAGTTGCTGCTTCATATTCCTGTACCAAGCAATCGACAACATCGCGTGAATCATCCAATTCAGACAAATCATCTTTAAAAATATCTTCACGCCTAAATTGATCAAGAAAAGCACCACGCTTTTTAAGTTTGTCATATTGTCCAAGCGCACGTTCAAAAAGCGAACAAATACTGGTGTGGTTAGCAAGCATCAATCCTGAAACCCGATGACTACTCTGTACGTAAGGTGATGAACGTGATAACGCTACTTGTATGCTCGCAGGTCCCCAGGGAATGAACTGTGCTAATTTGCGCTCTCGAATACGTTGCAAAGACTTATGCACCTGAGTAGGGTCTACTTCTCCCTAAACGCCAATAAAAATTATAATTAACAAATTCGACTAAAATAGTTTTACCATATGTTAATTGGTAACTTACTTGTATTATATTCAAAATTGAAATATAACAATGATGGTTGGTTTTGTCAGGTCCCGTAGATACCATCATATTTTTTGGTTGTAATAGGCGACGCATAACGTCCAACACTGTCGTTTTGCGAACATTAACTGTTTGCTGAAAGAAAATATTACGAATTTTTATATTTTCACTATATTTAGAGTACAACCTTACATCATTATCTGTCGTCAATGGCGTATAACCCGTCATTAAGAAATGCAATTGTGGTGTTGGTATCAAAGGTGCTGTCAAACCAATCAGATTATTATTCATATAGGAAGGATAACGTAATGTTGTGGTGCTGACAGACATTATAGTCGAAACCAAAGTGTTGATTTGTGTAAAGCTAGGATTTTGTATATGTAGCCGATCAGTAGCAATGCGATTTAGTGCCGTATTGTCGAGCACTACAACACAATCAGCGCAGCTAGTTAATCGACGCAGTGTCAACAACGAGTTATATGGCTGTACGACAACATCACTGATCTCGTCCTGATTGGGGAAAACACTGTATGTTTGTATCAGCTTTTTTGGAAAACGATCGGATAAACGTTCCATAATGTAAGAGCCCATACCAGAGCCAGTACCACCAGCTATTGAATGACAGAGCACAAAGCCCTCTAAAGAATCGCTACCATCTGCTTCGCGATCGATGATATCGAAAACCTCCTCTTGCAGTTTTTCACCTTGACTATAACCGGAAGCCCAGTTATTGCCAGCGCCACCGCCATGCTTCGACAAATAAACATTTTCCGGATTATAAAGCTGCAATTAATATAATATATTGTAAACAAGTGTGAGTTTTTAGAGGTAAATATATACGGGAACCTTTGCGTATGGCGAACTCATTATAGAGTGAATGACGCGTGGTTCCAAATCCAATAACACAGCCCGTGGTATATAATGATCATCATCCGCCTGATAGAAGAAAACATCTTTGCGATCTACACCATCGGTAGCAAAATCTTCTAACACACCACTCGGTGATATACCGTGTTCGAGGCATAGACGCTTCCAAAACTCAAAACCAACTACAGGAAAACAACCAAAAAAAAATTATTAGAATTTTAAAAAAATATGTATTTCTATATAATAGTATAGGTACATAAGTATATTTGCGCCAGAACTAGGAGCAGTCTTAACATATGCATATGTGATACACACTTTGATTGCCGCATTGGCCCAATTGCAATGTAATTATCTCGCTTGGCATTGCTTCGTTGATACAACTTTCAACTTTTATATAAAATTTACATTTATATTTCAAACACACAAACTTGTTTGCTTTAATAAACTTTGGGAACGAACAAAATTTTTAAATTTAATTGACAGAAGCTACTTAATGTTTTGGTAGCATTTGCATACTTTGTTGTTTTCGGATTTTGCGGCGAATTTATATTGACAATACGATAGTAGTAGGCATTGTATAAATCTACTAGGCTTATACAATGGTAGTAGGCTATCAAAAATTAATGTAAAGTACCGAATTTTTTATGTTTTATTAATAAACCCTTATTTACAACTTTCACAATATAAATATAGGAACGACAAATTAGCAATGAATTCTTTACCCCATTATTATAACCAAGCATCTTATGGAGCTGGCAACGCTGCATGATTTCATATAAATCAACATACAAATGTTTATGTTTTTTATCAGAGATAAATTGTAATAATTTGCTACTTATGGAGAAGCTTGTTATTTTAAAAGAAGTGTTTAATTTACTTTTTGATGACAGTGAGGATGAAGAAAGTGATAACAATATTAAAGTGATTAAAGCACATTTTAAAAAATGTAAAAACAATGGTGGTAACGCAGTTTCTAAATTGCCTACCCACAATTTTGAGCAGCATGTTCCAAGCAAAAATGATGAGGATTCCGTAATGGTCAATGGTCAAGAGAAAACAAAGGAAAATTTTGTAGAGGATATAGTACCAGAAATGCCCGATCAAAATTTTAAACAGCACTTTCGTGTAGAGCCGGAAGTGTTTAAAATAATATGCAAGGATATTTACCCATTCTTGTATAAAAAATATGGCCCTGGACGAAATGCCCTTAAACTAGATAAACAGGTGCTGATGACTCTGTGTTATTTAGGGAATAACGAAGCATTACGGTACAACGAATAAATTAAATAAAATTGTTAGTTTTATATATAAATATTAAATTTTTTCAGATCAATATCAGACAAATTTGGTGTTTGTACATCAACGTCATGGAGAATTGTTTCTAACGTGTGCAACGCAATACTTAGATTAAATGAAGAGAAACATATTATTAATTGGCCAAATCGAAAATTAGCTGAAAATACTTCAAAACATTACTGTGATATTTACAATTTACAAGGTAATTCGAGTATAAAATATATTTAAATACATGGGATCGAGTACAATACAATAGATTAAGATAAAACGAGTTTTTTTTTTTTTGATTTTAGGCGTTATAGGATGTGTAGGAATTTGTCATATAAAAACCAGAGCACCAATTAATTCCAGGAATTCATATAAAAATAAAGCTAGAACTCACACTATTCCGCTACTAGCAGTCTCGAATGAAAAAATGGAATTTATATATTACTATGCGAACGAGTGTAGTTCATTGGATAATGTTTCATTAATGAAAAGATCTGGATTGGAGTGCCGAATGAACTCAGGTTTTATCAATTTCCAAATATTAAACAACACTTAATTACATTTTAATTTTGTTGTAGGTACTTATAAAATAACTAAGGATCAGCATTTATTAGGCGATTGCGCTTATCCGTCAAAGACTTGGTTAATAACTCCATATCAAGAAAAAGAAGGCAGCGAATTAACCGATGAGCAAAAAATGTTCAACACAATGCATTCTCAATGTCTCGAAGACATTAAACGTTCATTTGTTCTACTGAAAGGACGGTTTCAACGGCTTCACTATATAGATAGTCTACGTTCTACCGCAATAACCAAATTCATTGCTGTTTGCTGCATTTTGCATAATATCTGTCTGCAAAACAGCGATATTTTAGATGACGACATAGAATATCAAGTTGAAGAGGAAGTTGATAATGTATTACAGAGACACAAGGATGATACAGAAGAGGTGGATTGTAAAAGAGACTTACTAATGAATTTATTATATGAATAAAAATCACATTAGAAAATAGTATACAATTATTCTATGATTAAAAACAGTATGTGGTTAATGTTGTAGGTATGTATTACATTCTATCTACCATTTTCTCAAAAATTGCAAGAAACTTTTTTGCCATTTTCATCTTTTCTTGGTGCCGTCTTTCTCTTGCGTCCTCCAAACTTTCGCAGCAACTATAAGATCTTTGACATCCTCTGCATTCGTAATAATTTCGATCATCATCACTTATTCGCCGACTTCGACATTCTTTACTACATCGATCTTTATCAGCAATTCTAGACCTCGCTCTTGCGTCATTGCCTTCTTTATCGTATTCCTTCCGAAATACCTTACTTTTTCGGCTTTCAATACCGATTCGGTTACGATTACGAGTTCCAGCACTAACATCCTCCGCACTACTATACTTTTCATCACTATCACTTCGAAGCCTTTTACGGGTTTGTCGAAAAGTTGATATCTCCGGCTCTATCGTATATTCAACGAAATCAAACTCGGTTTCACAACCCGTAGTAAACACCTCATTAGAATTTGCAGTGACTGAAGGTTTTATCTCTATATCATCTTTAAGAATTTCGTGAATTTGGTCATAAAACTCCCAACTTAATTTTGTCTCCGAATTTTCCATCTTTAGGTATGTTCTCTTCAGCCCTTTCCATTTTGATTCAACTTGGTCATAAGCCAAACTTGTCCCAATTCGATTATTAATTTCCTGTGCGATTTGTTGGAAAGTAAATTTCTTTACGCCACTTTGTAATTGGTGGTAATTTTTGTTTATCAAAGAAATAAGCAATGACGTTGTGTTTTTGGACCATTTGAAACCTTGAAAAGTATTAATTGCTTTCTGTTAAATTAAGATATAGCTTTTGAATTGAGTATATGTATAATCACTTTTAAAATTAGTTTCGCTATGTGCCATTATGTGAGTTTCTTTTTTAACTCCGTGTAAGATTTGATCTTCAGAAAAAATTCTCAAGTTGTCCTTTAAAGTGCTCTGGAACAGACAAAATACTGGAAATATTCGGAAGTGGACTAATTTTTAATTTTAACGAAAATATTAAGGTAAATTATTAATTCAATAAATACCATTGTAAATAAAAACACAAACAAATCCTATCAAACGTTCTGATATTCATGAGAAAATACCACAAAAACTAGAGCACTTTCGATAACAATTACATCTTTATCGATTAAAGGCACCTATCACTTTTGTTTAACATCATTTATTTTATAGTTTCTTCTTATACTAAATAATTTCCCAAAAGAAATTTTTCATGTTAATATACATTTATTTGTTCGATAATAAGCCTAATTCACTTAACATTATCCATTTGCTGATACGATACTTAAGAATCGATGGTTAAAATAATCGAGTATATCTGGCTATTTGAACCGTATAAACAAACACAACAGCGTAGCCGCACAAAACTTTGCCAGCGACCACCAGTGAAAGGATATAATTTGAATATTTTTACAGATCAAATTAGTTATGTCCTCAACAGAAAAGGGACTTCTTTCTGATGGCTGTCGAATAGCATCTTTTGTGGTGCTTGATTTGGAAACAAATGATTTGCCGTATAATTTCTCGAAAATCGCTATTACTGAATTATGCATGTATGGTTTTTCAACTAGTGAATTGGAAACAGCACCAATAAAATTGGAAGAGATAGACAATGTAACATTAGAGTTCGACCGACCGCGACATTTGCATAAGCTTACAATGCTATTCAATCCAAGACGACTTATACACCCGAAGGCTGAGGAAATTACTGGTAAGAAAAATGTTTAAGATATCCTTAATATAATTGTGTACATATTATTCATTATATTTCCCAAACAATATTTACAGGTTTGAGTAACTACAGTCTTGAAAAGGAGTCACATTTCGATGAGAATGCTGCTGGTATTATCACAAACTTCCTTAAGCATATGCAACAACCTGTATGTTTGGTCGCACACAATGGTGTTACGTTTGATTTTCCGATAGTCAAACAGACGTTCAAAAAGTTAAATTTAGTATGGAAAACGTTAAGTTTTTTTTTTCTTTTCTATATATTATTTTTTTCTCTGTAGAATCTGCCGTGCGAAACCCTATGTATAGACTCCTTGCTTGCATTTCGCGTTTTGGATCAACAATTGCAACTCCTATCTTCACCTACCGACATATATGATTCCAGTGTTAGCCGTACTGATAAAGATCAATCCGTAATAACATCTAATTTTGATAACACAAAAGAGACTGTTGTGGAGGCAAGACCGACACTTTTAGACCAACTCGATGCTGAAACAAAAATAGACTGGCGAGCACGTAACGAAACAACACCTAAACGACCCATCGTTACAGGTGTAAAACGCTCGCATACCGATAACTCAAAAAGTTTAAATAGTTCTTTTAAATCAAAACGATCACTCTTTACAAACATTCGTCTTGACAAATATCCACCAAAAGATGTGTATAAGTTGGAAAATATGTATAAACGATTTTTTAAGAAGACACCCAAAAATGTGCATTGCGCTGAAGCAGATGTGGAGACTTTGATGCATTTAATGCGAGTGTATGGGAGTAGTTTCCTTACATATGCAGAAAATAATGCGGTTCGTTTCGAGGATATATCACTAAAACGCTGACAAAAATAAACACGATATGGAGTATCACTCGGCATACCTGTTTGCCCAATTGACAAACCAATATAAGTTAAGCATGCTATTATTATTTTATTATGGAGCTACGTATGCAATTGTTATGGATCAGTGATGCAATTATAATTAACTATATTTTTGATACCTTGGACATTAAGAAGACGTAGTAATAAAACATACAATTGTTTTGCTATGAAAAATCTGGACATAGTGTACCAATTGTTGCAAGAGTTTGCCCCGTTTCATATGATTAATATAATATTGTTTCTTCCCATTTTTCTAATACCCTATTTAAACCCAACACGATTAGGTTTCCCAAAATAGTGCCAGGAACAAGAGAGGCAATGCCAGTTTGCTTTATTTTCGTGCATTTGTTTGTTGTAGTTGTAGCGGCAGAATTCTGCCGAGTTGACAGTCCTTGGCCGGAATAAACCCGGGTACGTTCCGGTTACGTAGACCCGACTGTTGTTGTTGTTGTAACGATTATCTAATCCCCGTTTGGGTGATAAATTCTAGATTCGTTGTCGTCGAGGTCATCTAACGGAAGGAAACGAGCTGTTTCGACGGGGTCGGACCATAGGGAGAGGGGTGTTAGATGAGTGGGGTTTGTTGGGCATGCAAAGAGGTGGTTAGTGTCAGGGTCTATTCTGGATAGGTAGGAGTTTAACCTACTACAGTATCCAGAACGAAGTTGCGCGAGGGTCACTCTAGATTCGCGAGGCAACTCGAGCTCTGTGTCTGCAATGGGTGGTGATTTGACTCGTATTACGCCATTCTGCGAACTTTGGCAGTTATCGCGGTCGTATGAGGAGTGAAAGAGCACAGACTGTCCAAAGTGACGCCTAAAATTTTAGGGTTATTTACTGTCGGAATTTTTGTGCCATCGACTGAAATGTTCAGGTCCAGTCTGGACTCCTTTGTCCAATTGGTGAAGATGGTCCCCGTGGATTTAGTGGGGGAGAGTGTTAGGTTCCTTGCAGAGAAGAAGCGAGAAAGATCAGAGAGGTAGCCGTTTACTTTTGAACACATGCCATCGATTCCATTGCCCGACGTCAATATCGTGCAGTCATCTGCGTACGAGGTCATTGAAATTCCCGCTGGTGGAGTTTTGAAATATAGAAATTAAACAGTAGCGGGGAGAGGACACCGCCCTGCGGAACCCCCTGTTTAATTTTCCTGAGTTTGGAGTTTTGACCTCGAAATAGTACGGATGAGTGCCGACCGCTCAGGTAGCTCATGGTCTACCGCTTCAGCCCTGGAGGGAGCGTTGATTGTTCCAGGTCCTCAAGTAGCGTTGCGTGATTGACTGTGTCAAAAGCTTTTGACAAGCCCAACGCTACGAGGATCGTCCTCTCGCAGGGTGGCTTCTGGTTCAGCCCATGAACTATCTGGGCGTTTATGACGCTAAGTGCTGTGGTGGTACTGTGCACTTTACGGAAGCCATGCTGATGGTCTGCTAGGCTCAGGTGGTGGGTGAATGGCGGGAGTAACAAGGCCTCAAGTGTCTTCACTACTGGGGAAAGGAGAGTTATCGGGCGATAAGACTCCCCTTTGTTGGCGGGTTTCCCAGGTTTCAGCAGTGGGACCACTCTTCCGACTTTCCACACATCGGGTATTTGAAGAGTGGATATCGACAGGTTGAGAACCTTGGCGAGGTAGTTTACTCCCGGTGGGCCTAGGTGTTTTAACATCAGCATGCTTATTCCATCAGGGCCGATGGATTTAGACGATTTCGCCTTTTTGATGACACTCTGAACCTCCCCATCGGTGAAAGTAAATGGTGCGCAGTCTTTTGGCATTTTGCGCAGCCGTCGGGTAACACATCGTTTGGCCTTGTCGGTCGAAGGGTGCAGTATAAACTGCCGGCTAAAGTAGCTCGCGCACTTTTTCGGGTCCGAGGAGGCATGGCCATCGAATTGGATTTCAACCCGATCGTCATGTTTCCTCGGATTTGACAGGGCCTTGACAGTAGTCCAAAGCTTACTCACACCGGTGGAGAGGTTGCAGGACTTCAGGTGCTCTATCCATTTTGTCCGCTTATGATGATTTACCATTTGCCGAATCTCCAAATTGAGATCCCTTATTCGGGGATCACAGGGATCGGCATGGCGTAAGATGTCGCGCTCATTTGCTAATACAGCTGCTTCGGCTGGGAAATTAGGGCGGAGTTCCGCTATTCTTCCAGCCGGTATGAAGCGAGCAGTAGCAGCAGCGATCACCTTGCGGAATTGACGCTCGCCAACGATGACGTCCGTAGGAATGGATAGTGCGTTGAAGGTGCTCTCAGTAAATTCTGTGAAGCCGACCCAGTTAGCTTTGTTAAAGTTAACATAAGTGCGGTTATCCACAGAAATAAAGTCAGGAGGTTTCTCGATCGAGATAATTATGGGCAGATGGTCTGATGCAAGAGTTAGCATAGGTCGCCAGGTTATACTATTTATCAGACCACCGCTAGCGATGGTAATATCTGGCGAGCTATTACAGGTGCCCATAATTCTGGTGGGGGCTTCGTCGTTCATTGTGCAGAATGTCGAATCGTCTATCTGTTCCGCCAGCTCCATCCCCCTACGATCGTTTGACAGGCAGGAATGCCAAAGATCGTGATGCGCGTTAAAGTCGCCTAGCACCAGACGGTTTTCACCACGAAGTAGCGCATCTATATTCGGGCGATATCCTGTTGGGCAACATGTAACTGGGGGGATGTATATATTAAATATTTCGAGCTCGACATCGCCTGACCGGACAGCTATACCCTGACATTCTAGGGTGGTGTCCCTGCGGTCGATATCAATATCGATTTAGACGATATTGCACGGTGTTGTGCAATATGAAGGCTAGGCCTCCACCATTATCCCGCTCGCGATCCTTACGTAAAACGTTGAAACCTGCACAACTCAGAAGATCTGAGCGGCTGTTTAACTTGGTTTCTTGGACCGCAGCTATCGTTACGCGCTCCCGGCTCATAAATGCAACTATCTCCTCGATCTTGCTCTGGAGTCCGTTGCAGTTAAATTGTAAGAGTCGCGTTTGTCGCGGGTGTCCAGTCGTGATCCTGGGGGTGAGTGGGGTGCGTGTAGGTGGTGGTTGTTGCAGCTGTGCTATCCGCATGGGTGGTTGTCGCACTGTGGTGTTGGTTGGCGACGCCACTGTATGTGATTGCGGGGGCAGACTCCTACAGCATGGGGCAACATACGACGCACTCCACTCTCGTGTGGTGCGCAGGCCAGAACATGACAGAAAGTGCCAGCACGGGTCAGGAGGATACGGAGCAACCCTGCTGCTAGGCGTTGCTCCAATGACGACAAACTTAATCTAAAACTTACCGATCCAAACAGGGTTAGATCGTCGAAATAACAGCCCTTGGCCGGATAAAATCCGGGTCAATTCCGGTATCGCAGAACCGACTGTCGTGGGAACGGGTGCATTTCTTTTCTTCTCTTTTGCCTTCCCCGCTGTGATAATAATGTAATATTTCGATATTCTTGTGATAGGTAGAGTTAAAGGTGGTTTGTATTTCACGAAGTAATCGATATTAAAAATAAGAGAAAACATTTACTTCAGCAGCACCGAAGCTATCTGTCAGTTAAGTTTTGGTTAACTCAACGGAAAGAAGGAGTCTGGTTGATAAAAAGACATTGAGAAAACTGTTCTTAATCAGCTTGCATTTGGTTGTTGTTCACAACTGCAGCTCTTTTGAGAGCATTTCTACTTATCAATAATATTCGCTCAGTGCCCAATCTCATAATGCCATTGAATGAATTAATTATGCATATATGTACATATCCGAATGTGCTCATTTTCACGCTGATTCATATCATATCATATTCATACACACGAAGCTTAATGTAGTTTACTAGATATGCATATTAACCTGTTAGGAAGATTCTATTACAAATTTGACAGAGACATGGATATCCAGTAATCAATTCTTGTGGTTTTTTTGTGTAGGGGTTGCCTTGTCTGTTGGCAGAAAAACTAGGCATCGCCATCAACATCGTTCATATGACAATTGGGTCTACGTATCCAGAACGGATTTTTATCCAGCCAAGGACTGTCAACTATGTAGTATTCCTCCAAATTACTTATCGATTTTTTGCTGCTATAAAAACAACAAAAACATCTAACGTCTCTTAATTTAGATCGTCGCTCTAATCCTTTGACTTTAATACTATATACATATATAACTCTATTTCTATCTCGATTAATTTTAACTTTCACAAATAACCGTTAAGTAATCGAAACAAACATAATCTAAAACATTTAAATGAACTAATTCCACACTAGGAAGTATGGATTGCATATTCTATAATTAAGTTTGCCCTCAGCTTTTGAGATATCTATTTGAAATTTTACACACGTTGTTTTCTCCAAGAAGCATATATGGAAAACTTGTTTATTTGACAAGATATCTTCACTAAATTTTCCATATATTATTATCCAAGGCAGCGTTATAATTTCGCATCACTATCGCATATGGCTGCGATTCAAACTGACATGTAAGGTTGTCAAATATCTCCCTTCCGTTTTTTTGTCTTTTGAATTTCGCGGCTATGTACAAAGCGCTACAGAGCTCGTATCTGGCAACACTATACATAATTTGAAAGGTCTTGACATAACCTACAAAACAACGCTATGCATGATTAGTTTGGATATTGCGTTCAACAGTTATAGACGTGTAAACATGGAGTTCACTAACGCCGAAATTCGCGCTATTTTAAAGTTTTCCTTCGTTAAAGGCAAATCCGCTAGAGAAACGTACCGTGAGATTAATGGTGTTTTGGGGGATGGTACTCTATCACTTCGAACCGCGGAGGAATGGTTTCGACGATTCAGAGCCGGTGAAAACGAAACCATGGATAAGCCAGCCGGCGGAAGACCTGTGACGACAAATACCGATCAAATCATGGAATACATCGAGTTAGACCGGCATATGGCATCTCGTGACATCGCCCAGGAGATGGGAGTTAGTCACCAAACCATTTTGAACCATCTGCAGAAGGCTGGATACAAAAAAAAGTTTGATGTTTGGGTGCCGCATAATTTGACGCAAAAAAACCTTCTGGACCGAATCAACGCCTGCGATATGCTGCTGAAACGGAACGAACTCGTCCCATTCTTGAAGCGGATGGTGACTGGCGACGAAAAATGTATCACATACGACAATATCAAGCGAAAGCGGTCGTGTTCGAAGGCCGGTGAATCGTCCCAAACAGTGGCCAAACCGGGATTGACGGCCAGGAAGGTTTT